ACTGCCCTGATCAATGTTTCGGCCAATTGCCCCAACCACTTTGAGGGCCACTACCAGTACAAGAGCATTCCTGTGGAGGACAACCACAAGGCGGACATCAGCTCCTGGTTCAACGAGGCCATAGACTTCATAGGTGAGCAGGACCACCTGGGACATTTCTGCCCCTCCCCGTTTGGGTGACAGCATAGCCTCTTTGGCAAGGACTCAGTTGAATGATCCCTATCTAAGCCTTTCAGACATTAGATACTAATCTGGTGTCACAGCGTGCCTGCAAAATATGGAAGTTGATGTCCCACTTCACCGAGGCTCAGAAAGGTGGATGGATTTGTTGAAGATCCATCTGCTAAATGGGCACACTGTCTGGGTTTAAATCCCTTGCTGTCCTTTGCCTAATGCCATGAATAGTGCCCAGTGGCTGTGTGAGGTGATGTTGACCCCCTGGCTAGGACACGCATGACATTTTGCACACCCCACTCTTGGCTCGGGTCCTCCTCCTGAGCTCTGGCTTCCTTTGTCTTCCAGATTCCATCAAGAATGCAGGGGGAAGGGTGTTTGTCCACTGCCAGGCGGGCATTTCCCGGTCAGCCACCATCTGCCTCGCTTACCTCATGAGGACTAACCGGGTGAAGCTGGATGAGGCCTTTGAGTTCGTGAAGCAGAGGCGAAGCATCATCTCCCCCAATTTCAGCTTCATGGGCCAGCTGCTGCAGTTCGAGTCCCAGGTGCTGGCCCCGCACTGCTCCGCCGAGGCCGGGAGCCCTGCCATGGCTGTGCTAGACCGGGGCACCTCTACCACCACCGTCTTCAACTTCCCCGTCTCCATCCCTGTCCACTCCACGAACAGTGCCCTCAGCTACCTTCAGAGCCCCATCACCACCTCCCCCAGCTGCTGAAAGGCCCTGGAGGTGAGGAGATTCCATCCCTCCAGGACCACAGGCTCTTCCTCCAGAAGAGAGGCAGTAACTCCAGAGATGGGCTTGTGGGTGCTGGTCCTTATTTATTTAATTTCACCCAAGTTCCCTGGGTTCTGAGCAGTTGCCATGGTGACAGCGTCAAGACATTTGCTGAACTCAGCACATTGCGGACCAATACGCAGTGGGTACATCAAGTCCCTCTGACAAAATGGGGCAGAAGAGAAAGGACTCTGTGTGTGAGCTGCTTTCTCTTTGCTTGCTTCCGTTTTTTCTAGAAACTTGATGCTTGACATACCTACCAGTATTACCATTCCCGATGACATATATGTATGAGAATATACCTTATTTATTTTCCCGTAGGCGGTCTGCCTTCACAAATGTGTCTACTCCTAGAAGAACCAAATACCTCAATTTTTGTGTTCAGTACTGTACTATCTTGTAAATAGATCTGAGCAGGTCTGTTCTCACCACTGGTGGAAAACACCAGTGTTGGTTTATTTAGTTGCCAACAGTTGTGTGTTTGCTGGTTATTTATGACCTGAAATAATATATTCCTTCTTCTAAGAAGACATTTTGTTATATAAGGATGAATTTTTTTATACAACAGAATAAATTATGTGATTTCTATGAAAATCTCAATGCTTCTTTCTTTGGCAACCCTGCCTGATCCCTGTCCTGCTAGTGAGGGAAGCATTTGGACCAGTGCCTGAAGAATCTGATCCTGCACTCCTTGGTGGCCCCTGGGTCCCATGAGATGACTGGGTCGCCAGGGAATGTGCTAGGGTAAGACACCAGTGCTAAGGCAGAATGCTTGTACAGGGTCAAAGTGTCCCCTCACCCCCTGCTGTGTCCTTGTCAGCAGCCTGGTAACCTATTGTGTCACCCAGGGAGTCCAAGTGTCCAGAGCAAAGAAGAAAAGGCCATCTGCCTGGGTTCCCTTTCGCTTCATGCCTTCCACCTTCCTCTGGTTAATATCATGTCCCCACCCCCAGCTGTGCTGGAGTTAGGAAAATTGTGTTTTTCCAGAACATGACATAAATGTACTCCTCTGCGCAAGGCGGTGGGTGCTGTGGCGCCAGGAAACCCTAACAAGGTCTTTTGCATCTTTATCTGCAAAAGATGTTGGGACCCCTGCACAGCTGGGAGGCAGGGTTGGGCAGTTGGAACCCGTTTTTTTTTGTTGTATTGTTTTTAATTTCTATGTGCTTTGCATTTTATCACCTGCCAGTCTCTCTTTGCTTTTGAAAAAAGGCTTTACTTTTGCAAAACAAATATATCCAATGGCATATGAGCAGGCCCAATCCAGAGAAAGTTCTGTAAGGCCTCACCCCCGCCCCCCCCACCAATTAGTGTGACGTTGGAGACCTCCACGCCAGCCTCTGCAGACAGAAACAACATTGTGTCTGCTGCCTCCTTTGGGTCCCTTGCTACTCTGATTTGGTAATTTCAATGAAGATAGGCAATTAAGTCTGACTTGCTACAGGGCAGTATTCTGAATTTTTACCCTCCTGCCAAGCAGGCTAAGAAGGAGGTGGCATAATTGACTACCAATCCACAACCCAGTGCACAATGGTGAATTAAACAACTGCAGAGCTCTTGGGCGGCCGGGTCCTGGGTGCCTGCTGCCACGTGCTTGTTTCTGGACAAAGTGCCGGGGGATGCAGAAAAGAAAACACACCATTCCACGGACCTAGGAGCACCCCGAGCCACGGTCCTCATTCAGCCCTGGCTTTCAAGGGCTTTCACAATTGGTGTCCTTGACTTCTCCCTGTTGGTCCACCTCTGGCACTTGACCTGCAGGCCCTGAAAGATCCCTGTGTTCTAAGATGTGAGAGCTTCCCGGGGCCTGGCAAGCTCATTTCCTTGGCTGGGTTTCCGGCTCATGGCAAGTGTGTTCCTGCTTTTCAAAACAAACTGTACCCACTGTTTTCATCCAACCCTAGAAATTTACTATTGCAAACATCTCCCTTCGTGGAAATGTACCAGCGACGTTGTCGGTGGTAGATGTCATGGCTGACTTCCCCGTGGGCCTGGGCCTTCACTTTTGACTTGGCAGGGGTGAGCCAAAATTAATCTCCAGTGGGATCCACTCAGTGGAAAAATACAGCAGCTGCCTTAGGGAGCCGCCAGTGAAAACAGCCGGCGCTTTCCACAGCTCAACCCCTGCAACTCAGGACAGGTCCATATGCTGGATCGCAGCGTCCAGGCCTCCAGGAAACGTCCCATTGGACCTGACACTGTTTTTTTTGGGAGGGGGGGAAGATGAGTATCTCCCGATGAAAAGAAGTACTTTCACTCTATTAAACTGTTTGACAGAGACAGCCTGAAATAGAGACAACTTCATCACCTGATACTGAGGATGAGAGAGTGACAGCTGTCACTTTTAGAGTTAGCACCATGAGTCAGGCACAGCCTAAGGGCTGTGCACATTCACATGCAACCGCAACACCCATTTTCCAGAGGAAGAAACTGAGGCTTAGAGAGATGAAGTAACATGTCCATGGTCATCCAGCAAGTACACCATCTTGCAGAGATGGGAGGCCAGGCCTACAAGAAGACAGGACTAAGAGTCCAGCTCAGTGCAAAGAACAGCTGGAAGGAGTGAGGAAAGCCAAGGTTGGCCACCAACCAAACTTCACCATGGTTTCACTGTGGAATTTTGGGGTGGAAAATCTATTCCTCCCTTAGGGCCTCAGTTTCCTTGTCTGAAATGAGGAAAATAGAAGCTGCTTTATTTGTGGGGAAGAAATGGGCCCATGAAGCCAGGTGTGGTAGCACAAGCCTGTAATTTCAGCAGCTCAGGAGGCTGAGGCAGGAAGATTGCAAGTTCAAAGCAAGCCTCGGCAACTTAGAGAGGCATTAGCAACTTAGCAAGACCCTGTCTCAAAATGAAAAATAAAAAGGGCTGGGGATGTGGCTCAGTGGTTAAGTACCCCTGGGTTCAAAAAAAAAAAAAGAAAAAAGAAAGAAAGAAAGAAATGAACCCCTGAATGTAAAGTACCTAGCATTTCCATCCCCTTGCCCTGGTCCCAATAACCCTGGCAATCCCGAGTCTGCCTTCCACCACTAAGATGACCAGAGCACTGGCTCTGAGGGGCAGGGTCCTCCCCGCTCTCTATTTCTAGATGTGGTGAAGGCATCGGCGCAAGCCTCATGATTTCCTGTGGTCTCCAGGCATCCATTATTGGACTAGGATTCTTCCAGCTTCCACGCCTCCACCCCCGCCGCATCCTCTCCTTTCCTTGGAATTTTGTAGTCGTGCTCATTTGCTTTGGTTCGCAGCCTCTGGCATCCGCCCCCTCCCTCCGGGCCATCGGGGATGACATCATGTGCCTACACCTTTAAGATTATATAAATCTGTGATCCTACAGTGGCCTCCGTCCCCATGGTAACGCGGAGGAGTTTCCCTTTTGTGAGGAAAGCTGTCATGTCACTTCCTGCTGCTGACAAATCAGTTTAGGAGATTAAACTAAGGGGGGCAGGGTGCCGCTGCGAGGTGCTGCCTGGTGGTTTCGCTGCCTCCACAGGCAGCAGGGGCCCTCAGGCCCCCCCCTCACCTCCTCCCTCACCTCCTCGTCCAGGTCACCGGCTGCTTTCCTGACAGCAGCCATCTCTGGGCCCATTTTACAGGCCTGGGCTCTCTCCTGTGCCAGCCCAGGACAGCTGTTTTGTCCTGTGGAAAACCAAAGGTCCCCTGGCCCTGACACAACTGTGCTCTGCGAGGACACCTTGCGACCGCTCCCTCCGTGGTGGCCCGCCCCCTACTCACCAAGGACACAGTCAGCAGACAGGCATCCCTCTCTAGGCCCAGGGGACCCTGGTGCCAGGCAAGCCGCCTGCAGCCAAGTAGCCCCGTGGCAGAGGGTCCAGAGATGAGCTGAGCGAGGGGGGGGCTGGGAAGGGGGAGAGGGGGAAGGGGTTACTTAGACTTGGGGGTGGCTGGAGACACTGGGGCCACAGTAATGTCGCCGAGTTGCCCACTTTAGGGTTTAGCTGGGAGAGGGCTCCAGGTCAAGAGGGCAGCGAAGCTCTGTGGCCTAATGACCAAGGCACTCGACTCGGAGGCAGCTGGACGGGTGTTCCCGACCCAGTTCTGCTGCCCAGCAGCTCTGTGTGAGTGACCAGAGCCCTAGACCTCGGTCTCCCCAAGCGAGCCGGTCCAGTAAGGCCCTTTCTGGATTAAATGAAAGGTAGTCACTTCAGGCTCATCAGACAGGCTTGGGAAAGGCTCTTTTGTCCTCTTGTGACTCAGCAGGTCCCCATTCTGTCACTGAGCAGCACTGCCCATCCCCAGTGCCCTGGCAAAGGGAAACAGAGAAGTGACTGTCCTGCCAGTGTCATGAGTTGGCCTGCATGCGGATGATGCTGTCTGGAGCAGCCGCCATGCTATGAGGTCACCAGCCCTGTCCCACTGACCTGGGCAAGGCACTCTCCTCTCTGAGCCTCAGTTTCCTCTTCTGGTAAGTAGCAAATGATGTGCACTCCACCCAGCCCCCTTCCTGCCCATCCTGGGCTCAGCCCCCCATGCTCCATCTGGGAAGGCTCTGGAATCCCTGGGGTCACTTGGAAGGGTTCTGGAAGACAAAAGGAGCAGAAAACAGACACTTTCTGGGGAGGGGCAGCCAGAGGTCCTTGACCTCTGGCAGGTGGGCTGGTATTATGGAGACCTGACTGGTCCTTGTGGGAATGAGGGCCCCTTGCAGGGTCTGTGGGAGCATCATGTGCTCTTGGACCTCTTGGCTCACATTCCTCTTCCAAGCCTGGCAGCACAGTGAAGACTGGTCTGAAGATTTCCACCATGATTGACACCAGTCATTCATCCATTTGGTAAACAGGTACTAAGTACCAAGTACTGATTTAACAATCAGTAGATGTTAGAGTAAGACCAGCAGAGGAAATGCTGAGCCTTGGTCCCAAATGGCTGTTGACAGTACTGATGCGTCACCCAGTGTCTGGGTTATTTGCCCCTGCAAAGCCTCAGTTTGCACATCTGTAAAAAGGCGTGATGAGCGTTCGCTCACACAGTACTTGTCTAGATTAAATGAAATAGCACACGTGTGACATTGCTCACAGTGCCCAACGTGCCAGAGTGAAGTCTGAGCTATTTTAACCAACCACAGTCATCACCAGCCTTGTTCTGAGGGAAAGATGGAAAAAGGAAACAAAGACGTATTGACAGCTCTCCGATTTTACCCTCTGGTCTAGACTTTCACCAATTGCGATCTTGAATATCAGTCGGTTCCTGGGCACATGCCTTTGTTTGTCAAACAGACTCCCACGCTTGGCAATTCCCAAAGCCGACCTTGGACTTGCCCACACCAGCTCCTGCTGGGTGCCGCCTTCCTGAAAGACAAGTTGGCTTCTACAGGACTCAGGCCCAACACTGGAGACGCCCTGACTGCTCGAGTTTCTCATAATCCAAATTTTAATTCAGCAGCAAAATGAGATAGTGTCATTTTCAAAACATACCCATTTCCAAAATATACCTACTTCTCATCACTTTATTTATTTATTTAGTACTGGGGATTGAACTCAAGGGCACTTAACCACTGAAACACATATCCCCAACTCTTTTTTGTATTTTATTTAGAGACAGGGTCTCACTGAGTTGCTCAGGGCTTTGTTAA